CCCACCTGTTTACCCAGGACCCTGCGATGCCCCCCCTGACCCCTCCCAACACCCTGGCCCAGCTGGAGGAGGCCTGCCGCAGGCTGGCTGAGGTGTCTAAGCCCCCGAAGCAGCGGTGAGTGGAAGCGGCGTCCGAGGCGAAAGGCTGGCGCTGGGGGTGGAGGGCGTGGACGTAGAGACCTGGCCTGTGGCGAAGGGAAGGGCCTTTTTCTGGCCGCATCACATTGTCCTCTCCAGCTTCTAGAAATGGTTGCCTTTAGTTTCATTCGTCCTGGAGAGCTAACCGGGATCTGTGAGGCAAGTCGTGCAGTCATTCCTTACAAATCCCATTCCTTACCCGGATCATGTAAGCCTGGTCCGATGAGCACATGAGAAGCCATGACTGAGCCTATGGGGACTCTGGGGCCTGCAGCCCTCTGCCTGGCTCGCAGGGTCCACCCCGGGTGCCCCCGTGGGCTCAGGAGGGCCGTTCCCAAGGCCTCTTCCAGGCCTCCTGGAGCCACTGCGGACACTAGGCCTCCGTTGGTCTCCCACGGCTGGGAGTCAGGTCTGTGTCTGTTTACAAGGCCACAGACAGTCGTTTTCTGTCTGCTCCCCATTGGCCCTGGGCACGCAGGCGTCCCTCTGACCCTTTGCTCTGGCTGTGTCCTCAGGTGCTGCATGGCCAGCCAGCAGAGGGACAGGAACCACGCGGCCACTGGTCAGACAGGAGCCGCGCCCTTCTCCACCCCCGGCCTGGCCGCAGAAGAGTGAGTGTCTGTGCCGAGACCACCCTGTGGTTTACGTTTCAGGGGTGTTCACAGTCGGCATTGGCGATTTTCGAAAACCTTTTTTAATATGGAACCACCCCGATTTTAACGTGTTAGTGACAAGGAACAGTAAACACAGCTGTTGCCATAAATTAGGATCCTGAAAAGCCTGCCTGGACTGAGCCACGCACTGTGACCTGCTCACAAGTGCTCCTCCCCGGAGCGCCGATGGCTCAGGGTCCCGGCACACACTAATCAGAGGCTGAGGCCTGAAGCCTCGAGCGCATGGATCAGAGGGCCCCCAAACCCGGACGCGAACGTTGCCCCCTGTAGCTCGCCAGTTAGCACGTGGGAAGCCTCTCTGTGCCACACGGAGCAGGAAGGCGGCTCGCCACCGTGGCAGAGATGGAGGGAGGGCGGCCTTCGTTGTTTGGCTTGGGGAAAACAGCAGCTCCCCTCATAGCACTGTGGTTCCTTTTGTAAATGCGCACGCTCACCACATGGACGGAGAGGCCTGGCTTCGTGCGATGACAGGATGGTGCGTGCAAAAGGAAATCTGGAGAGAGCTGACCTGGGTCTGAATAATTAAAGAGTTTTTTTTTCTTAGCAGCTTTATCACGAGCAGTGAGCAGTGTTTGAAGTCCTGAGCAGGCCTCCACCCTGGGCCCTTCTGTGTTAATTGGTTGACCTTAAGTCTACCAGCTGTTCTGGCCCGCAGCTTGTTTTTGTTTGTTTTTAAGCCACTCTGCAAAAACTCCACATAAGTGGAGGGGGGTCGAAACGACGGTGGGCTCACCCCCCACACACTGGGGGCTCTAGCCAGGCCGTCCCAGGAGGGGCACTGAGTTTGTCTCCAGTGTACCCAGAGCTCGAGTGTCCTTGTGGCTCTGTGATGGGAGGCTCCCCATTTGTGCCCCCCTGAAAGAGACTGCTCTGCCCCCCTGTTTGGTAGTAGGAAGGAAAACGAGCAATTTGTGCAACTGAGGGACTTGCCCCTGCCTGTGCCCCACACGGTGACCTGGGTGGACTGCTCACCAGAGGTTGCCTCTGATATGGGGACCCCTGCAGCCTCACTTTACCTCTGGAGACAGTGTTTGGAGAGCGTGTGCATGTGCGTGTGTGTGTGTGCGTGTGCATGTGCGTGTGTGTGTGTGTGCGTGTTTGCTCGCCGTCTTCAGATGCTGAGCTTGCTGTGTTGCATCTTATTTTCAGTCACAAAGAGCCAAAGAAGCCAGCAGGGGTCCACGCGCTCCAGGCCAGCGAGCTGGTCGTCACGTACTTCTTCTGTGGAGAAGAGATTCCATACAGGAGGATGCTGAAGGCTCAGAGCTTGACCCTGGGCCACTTTAAAGAGCAGCTCAGCAAAAAGGGAAATTATAGGTAAGAGTCCCGTGGCTTCTTTCTGCTCCTGAGTTTGTTTGCTCAGAACCGAGAGCCAGAGCGACTTCCCTGGCCAGACCAGACCCTGGGAGGGGCCACGAGGGCCGAGGAGGTGGGAGGTGGGGAGGCCGTGGGCGTGGGCTGCTGCCTGCTGCTCCGTCCCTTCTCATTTCCTCGCTCCCCTCACCACTCTGAGAAATAACACAGCAGCGCGGCAGCGGGGAGGGCCTTTCTACCGGGTGAGCAGGATGCTGAGGAGAAAGGTGGCAGGAGGAGAGCTGGGCTTGGACCACCTTATGGGACTCTGCCTGAAAGGGAGAGAAGTGGGGGTGGGGGGGGTAGAGAGAGACGGACACACAGACTGATCAGGGAACCAAAAGACTGCTGTCCTGGCTTGGGTGTCCGAGAGACGCCCACACACTGAAGGCCTGGGGAAGGGCTGAGGCCATTGCCCGGAAATGCAGGCCGTGTGCCTCTTACTCAGCTGTCCTGCCTGAAGGGCTGCCTTCCTCTGTCTTAAGAGCCACGTGAAGCAGGGTGCTCTTCTGTCCATAACAAAGAGGGGGCAGGCCCGGCCCGTGTGGCTCAATGGTTGAGCATCCACCCATGAACCAGGAAGTCACGGTTTATTCCCAGTCAGGACACATGCTCAGGTTATAGGCTCAATCCCCAATGTGGGGCGTGCAGGAGGCAGCCAATCAATGATTCTTTCTCATCACTGATGTTTCTCTCTCTTCCTCTCCCTTCTTCTCTAAAATCAATAAAAATATTTTTTAAAAAACAGAGGGGGCAGGACCTGTGGGTGGGCACTGGGTGGGCAGGGTCCTAGGAAGGGAACTTGCCCACCCTCTCAGCTTCCTTTCCTGCTCTGCACAGTGGAGATGCCCACCCAGGCCTTCCAGGGACCCAGACCGGACTAGAGCTGAGGGCTGCGTTTCTTGTTCCTTTTCCCCTTACCTGGCGACAGGTGGTGACTCCACCTTAGCTCATCGAGTCCCACCTGCCCCTCCTCCGTGGCCTTCCTCCCAGGGGACTATGTGTAGGCCTGGGACGAGGGGCAGGCAAGTACTTACCACCTGCCAGGTGGGCACGGGCTCCTGGACCCAGGCGATTCCACCTCCAGGGCCCCAGCACCCGTGCCTTCCTGAGCAGCCACCTCCACCAGCCGCAGATTTGGGCAGGGGCCCGAGGGGTCGCTGTTTCAGAGGAAGGGGTGGGGTTCGGGCCGGGACCCTGTTGGTGGCTGGGAGCAGGGTGTGGAGCTGGCTTCGTCCTTCCCATTGACACCTGGGCTGAAACAGTTCTGAGCCTTTTGGAGGTTTGGGGAGGGGGCCTGGCCGCCGCCGCCTTTATCTGGACCGACACCAGGTGAAACTCATTCCACAAGGGCGCCTCCAGGGATCCGTTTTGATCTCGGCTTTGACTCGGCCGGACTTGGGGGAACTGCAGGTGACCTTCAGGGACAGGGGCCACGGAGCGCTGAGCAGAGCGGCTGCAGAGGAGGCTGGGCGCCCAGCCTCTCCGGCCACATCTGGCTCTGATTTCTTTTTCTGAGGCGCACTTAATAAGCCTGGCTTTGAAGCTGGGCCGGCCTCCCCTTTAATGCACAAAGACTTGCACAAACGGTCCGCGCTCACATTCTTTACTGATTGGATCAGCCTGTGGCCAGGCCCCTCCCAGCTCCTTATCGCTCTGCCTGCTCTCCTGGCCAGAGCGGGCTCCCCTCCTCCTGGGTCGAGGGGGCACAGGGTGCCATGCCTCACGCCCCCCCCCCAGCAGGGGTGATGCTCCAGCATTCAGTTCCCACCCCCACACCCCCCACAGGAAAAAGCCCGGGCAGCGGGGGACCTGGGCTGCGTTGAGTAATCTCACCGTGGCAGAGGTTCAGAAAGAGAACAGCCCCTCTCGACATGCCAGACGCTATTGGTGCCAGATGTCAGAAGAAAGCAGCGTTTGCCACATAGAGCGTGTTGCCCTGGAAAAGCCCGCTGCTTGGGGGAGAGGAGGGCAGCGAGCACGTTTGAAGTCCTGGGGGTGGGGCCGAGGGAACAGCGCCTCGCTCCTTTCTGGAAGAGGGTGCAATTATGTGAAAGGTCGTGGCGTGTTTGCCATGAAAGCCGGCCTGGTGAACCCGAGGGGGTGGTGCTGGGGCTGAGGGTGGCATCAGAATTGGAGCCTCTCATTTGGAAAAGTAGCTCTTCCCACCATCCTGCCGGAGTCTCCTGGGCCCCCTCCCCTCCCACTTGCTCACCATTCCTCCCAGCCCCGCAGACACCCCGACCCCTCCACAGGCAGCGTTTCCACCACTGGCCCCCGAGCGCCGCGCGTCAGCTGGGCCGGGAACACTGAAAACAAAGGGCCTTGACTAAACCCAGCTGTCTGACTTGACTTAGTCTTATCTCCCAGGAAAGTATTTGGCTTGCCTTCATTAAAGAAGAAAAAAAAACACGCAGCACAAAGCAAGGGGAATTGATTTTAAGAGAAAAGACAGGAACAAAATACAGCCATAACCCTG